GTACCCCACTGACTGCATAGCATTCCGCCCTGGATGTGGGGTACCCCACCTTGGTGGCATGGCATCCCCCAAGGCTGTGAAGTACCCCCCACCCCATTAGTGCAGCACCCTGTAAAGCAGAAGGTGCTCAAGGGGGGCTGCCCAGCTTGTTAGACTCCATTTCCCCCCGTGCCCAACTCTGCTGTCTCGCAGGCCATGGGGGATGACGGAGCTGTGCTCTGGTGGGAAGAGATCCAGGAAGGGGTCTGCCGGGCTAACCAGGACACAGTGGCAGCCAGAAGGAGTGAGTGCTCTCCCCACACAGGCTCTGGGTGCTGAGCCCCTGTGGGCTGGGGTGCTGCTGTGGGGGTCAGAGGACGAGAAGGTGCTGACGTGAGCCCCCTCTGTTCCATCAGTGGCTCTGGGCATTGCTGCCATCAACCAGGCCATCAAGGAAGGGAAGGTGGCACAGACGCTGCGGGTGCTGCGCAACCCTGACGTGGCCCTGTGTGGTGTGGTGAGCGCCTGTGCTGGTGCCTACCAGGAGCAGCTGGCGGCTCTGGTGGCCACCAAGAGATTGGCAGGTAAAACCTTGGGAGCTGCAGAACTGCCCGCCCTCCACCTGAGGTGTTCGAGGGGAGCAACACCACCCAGCAGTTCCTGTCCTGGTGTGCAGGGAGTGAGAAGCTGTACTGGATCCGCCACAGGCTGCCAGACGGTGCCGAGTACTACCTGAGCCTGAAGACCTTTGAGGGCAGCTGGCAGTGCCCACGCGACGGCAGCCTCAACACCACACACCTGAGCCGGGAGGAGATCCAGGTACAGGCTGGACGGGGCTGGGTGGGCACCGGTGGCATCACTGGGGCTGAGCTGGTGCTTCATGTCCCCACAGTTGGTTGTCACCCGAGTGACGGCAGCGCACGACCGGGAGTGCCTGTGGGCATCCAACACCTCCTTCGTGGTGAGGCTGCAGGCTCGGCTCCGGGGCTTCCTTGTTCGCCGGGAGTTCGCGGCACGACGGCACATCCTGCGGGAGCAGCAGCCGGCTGCCGTCAGGATCCAGGTGATGCAACCAGAATCCATCCCACCTCTGTGCACAGGGACACAGCATCCTCTGGCGGGTCCAGCGACCTCTGCCATTTCACTGCTGGGGCCCCCCGAGGTGCTGCAGAGGGTGGTGTGGGGCTTGTTTCTCTCACAGCAGCTGCTTTGGGTGCTGGTTTCCTCTTTTCTTGTGCTGCGTTATCCTCTTCCCTTGTGTGCTCCTGACTGGGAGTCATGGTGACCTCATGCAGGTCTCTAGCTGGTGTCTTCTCTTGTGCCCAGGCTTGTTGGAGGGGGTACAAGCAGCGCAGAGCTTACCTGGAGAGGCTGTGTTACCTGCGAGCCAACGCAGAGGCTGCAATCAAGGTTGGGAAGACTCTTCCTTCAGCCTTTGCTCCCTCTTGCTCAGCTGCAGGGTGGCATCTACCCCCTGCCCAGTGCAGAGGAGCCAGGGGGGATATGGCAGCTGGGCCAGGGCAGCGTGTGAAGGGATAAGGGAGAACGTCTTGCAAAAATCATTGAATAGAATTATGGACTTGTTGAGCTTGGAAAAGCTCTTGAAGATCACTGAGTCAAACTGTTCCCCCAGCGCTGCCAAGTCCACCACTAACCCATGTCCCCAAGTGCCACGTGTCTGTTAAATTCCTACAGAGATGGTGACTTCACCATTGCCCTGGGCAGCCTGTGCCATGAAGAAATTTTCCCTAGTGTCCAATCTAAACCTCTGGAAATCCTCAGTTTCCTCCCTCTCCACCCACTTGCTTTGGCCAAGTGAGTCCTTGCAGAATCCAACTATTTGAACATCTCTTCCAGATCCAGGCGGGTGTGAGGATGTGGCAGGCTCGGAGGAAGTACCAGGAGAGGCTGCGCTACTTCAGGCAGAATGTCAGTGATGGGATGGGAGCAAAACAGCTCCTGGGAACATGTTGGTGGGGATGGAGGAGAATGATCTGGAGCCCATGGTTGGATCTCCTTCCCTGTGCTTGTGGCACAGCTGGAGGGAGAACTGCTGCATCCTGGTCAAGGGGGACAGATGGGAAGGAAAATGTGCCGGGGGGGTCTGGAAGCCAAACTATCAGGCTCTTTGAGGTGTGAGGAGAGACAAAAACCACTCCAGTTCCATCAAAACCCAGGGAATTCAAGATGCCCACTAGAGGGGAAGGAAATTTTGGGGGAAAGGGAGGTATTGGCTGCAGGAAGCAAAGCTGCACCTCTGGAGTTGCTGCAGCTTCTGAAATACAGTGAGCACAGGAGAACAACTGCTGAGGAGGGTGGAATCCCAAAATCCCTCCCCAGTTGTGAAGACCCTCATCCCAGGCCTTAGCACACTGCCAGCAGTGGGAGCAGGCAGCCAAATACCTGTCTAGCTCTCCTCCACTCCCCACGTGTGTCAGGGATGCTGTGAGGAAACATCCCCCATCCCCTTGTTTGTCTTGGCAGATTAAAGCTGTAATTAAAATCCAGGCTTTTGTGCGAGCGAACAAGGCCCGTGGGGATTACAGGATGCTGGGTAAGTGTCTGCTCATTGCTGCTCTGAAGTGTGAAGGCTAATTGGGAAGGGGGCTCTGCCTCTTCCCTCACTGGCCTTGCATGGTGGGGAGGTGGTGGCAGGCTGACCATCAGTGTCTCTGTGGTAAGGACAGGAGTGACAGATCCTTGGTGGTTCCTGGGCATCAGCCTTGGAGCTGCCCCTCTGCCCCCAAAAGCTTCCTAGGGGCTGTTGTGCGGTGTGGCCATGCTCTGTCTCATGTCCTAGTACTGCAAGAAGATGCTTTTTCCGGGAGGATGGGGTCTCTGGGTGAGATCCTGGGGGTGCAAGGGTCTGTGATGGGGGTGGCTGCTCTGCCCCCTGCAAGCATGCACGGTGTCGCTGTGCCTTGCCGCAGTCCATGCCAGGAGGCCACCACTGAGCATCGTCCGGCGCTTCATCCACTTGCTGGAGCAGAGCCAGCATGACTTCTGGGAGGAGTCAGAGGTGCTGCGGCTGCAGGAGGAGGTGGTGAAGAGGATCCGCGCCAGCCGGCAGCTGGAGAGTGACCTGGACCTCATGGACATCAAGATCGGGCTGCTGGTCAAGAACAGGATCACGCTGCAGGTGGGGAGCAGGGCAGGGGTCAGGGGAGGATCTCAGACATCTCATGTGGTCCTGCCAAAGTGCCTGAGCCCGTTGGTCCTGCTCTCCATGGCATTGCAGCTTGGACTTATCTCTGCTTCACTCTTCAAGTGATTGGAGGGGTTGGGAGGGGTTGAGGAGCACTGGGATGCCTCAGGCTCTTCCCAGAGGCTGGTCGGAATGCCGGAGCCTATGGCAGTCCCCAGCATTTCTCTCCCTGCCCACGTGGCTGCAGGAGGTGGTCTCCCACTGCAAGAAGCTGACAAAGAAGAACAAGGAGCAGCTCTCAGAGATGATGTCCATAGACAAGCAGAAGGGGCTCAAGTCACTCAGCAAGGAGAAGCGTCAGAAGCTGGAGGCCTACCAGCACCTCTTCTACCTGCTACAGGTGGGGCTGGTGGGGATCTGCTGTGTCGCCCACAGTGGGGGGGTAGTGTGGGGACCTGGTCCCCCAGCACTCCACAACATTTGGGTTAGCTTGGTGTCCCTCGTGCCTGCAGACACAGCCAGTCTACTTGGCCAGGCTGATCTTCCAGATGCCCCAGAACAAGTCCACCAAATTCATGGAGTCAGTAATCTTCACGCTTTACAACTACGCATCCAACCCGCGGGAGGCTTACCTGCTGCTCCAGCTCTTCAAAGTGGCGCTGCAGGAGGAGGTCAGGTGGGTGTCCATGGGTGTCCTGGTTTGGGGACAGGCCTGGGCAAAGGCTGAACCAAGGACATCATCTTGGATGCAGTTATCTCCTCTGGCTACTCCCTCCTGCTTGGAGAACACACACACTGGTCCATCCCCTCATCCCATCCGCCCTGTCTCTCTCCCCAGGTCCAAGGTGGACCATGTCCATGACATCCTGATGGGGAACGCCACGGTGATCCGGCTGGTGGTCAGCTTCTACCGCAACGCGCGTGGGCAGAACGCCCTGCGGCAGATCCTGGGTGGCCCAGTGCAGGCGGTCCTGCAGGACAAGGCCCTTGGCATCCGTACCGACCCTGTGGACATCTACAAGGCGTGGATCAACCAGGCTGAGTCACAGAGTGGGCAAAGAAGGTCAGACCCTGGGCAAGGAGGCTTCGCCTGACCGCAGGGTGACAGGCGTTGGGATGGTGATGGGGATCTTCCTTTCACAGCAAGCTCCCATATGAGGTCAGCCCTGAGCAGGCTCTCAGCCACCCCGAGGTCCAAAGGCGGCTGGATATTTCTATCCAAAACCTCCTGGCAATGACAGACAAGTTCGTCTCTGCCATCACCTCTTCCGTTGACAAGATCCCGTATGTATCCCTGTGGTTTCTGTGCCCGCCCCGGGAGCACTGCCGGCTCAGAGGTGTCTCTAGCAAGGCCTTAGAAAAGAGGTTTGGTGACTGGGGTCCTCTTGCCCCTTCAGTGCTGCAGGGCTGTTTTACTGCACTGTCAGCAAGCTGAAACCAAATATCAGCAGTGCCCCATGGGCTGGCTCTTTGGACCACTCTGAGTGCTTTACTGCTGGTGTTGAGGTGTTGCCAGGGAGAATCTGAGCTGTGGTCATCTCAGAGGATGAAGGCTTCCTCCAGGGATGTGTGGGCTGGCAGCAGGGTAGAGGAGGGAGCCAAGGGATGCTGCAGCTGCCGGCCCCTCCTGTGGGCTCCTCCATTGCCCCAGGGCTGGGGGTTTCCTGTATCTTGAGTTGTGGGTGGTAGAGAGCTGGGGCAGGGTGGTCCTTCATGCTGATGGACCTTTCCCTGCCCTCTCCTCAGCTATGGCATGCGCTACATGGCCAAAATCCTGAGGACATCTTTGATTGAGAAATTCCCCAAGGCCCCGGCAGAGGAAATCGATAAGGTACCCTGGGGCTGGGGGGCTCTGTGCTGTTTGGTGGGGTTCATCTGTGTCTGCACGTGAAGGGCCAGTATCTCTTCACAGAAAATCAAGTCCTCTGGACTTAAAAATACCTCCAAGTCAATATTTTCCATGAGCCACTAAGGAAATGCCAAGGGTGGGCTCTTCTCAAGGGTGCCATCCCCTCTGGGAGGCTCCCACAGGGCAGCGCAAGGATGCAACACCCTTCCCTGCTGAGCCACCACCTCCTCGGGCCTCAGCCTGCCTGCTCCCCCAACCCTCAGCCTGTCTCGTGCCCTAGATTGTGGGCAACCTGCTCTACTACCGCTTCATGAACCCGGCTGTGGTGGCCCCTGATGGCTTTGACATCGTGGACATCTCGGCTGGGGCGACCCTGCACCCCGAGCAGCGCCGCAGCCTGGGCTCCATCGCCAAAGTGCTGCAGCACGCAGCCGCCCGCAAGGCCTTCGACGGGGAGAACGCGCATCTCTGCGGGGTGAACCGGTACCTGGAGGACACCCACAACAAGTTCAGGTGGGCACCAGGACAGCATTGGGGCGAGAAGGCGACTGTGAGCCAGTGGCAGGGTTTTGGGGTTGACCGAAGGGGTCCTTCTCTGCAGGAGGTTCATCTCTGCTGCCTGCTGTGTCCCTGAACCAGAAGAGAGGTTTAATATGGATGAGTACTCAGAGATGGTGGCGGTGGCCAAACCAGTCATCTACATCACTGTGGGGGAGCTCATCAACACGCACAAGGTAAGGGCATAAAGCTCACAGCAAGCGAACTCTGTTTCCTCTGCTCCCACCTCCTGGGCTTTCTGCCGCATTTCCTCACACTCTTCTGTGTCCCACCCCCAGCACAGCTCCTTTCCTCCTGACTCTTTTTTCTTTTTTAAGCGAGGAAATAACCCAGATTCTGCAGGTTTGTTGCTGCTTGTCCTTCCCTGAACATCATATCTGCTCCATCCCCTTTCGGGTGTAAAGGATGCAAAGGGGGCCCTCTCTCTCTCTTCCTTTGCATCCTCTGCCACTGACTCATCCCTTGCACCGTCCAGCTCCTGCTCGAGCACCAGGACTCCATAGCACCGCATCACGGAGACCCCCTGCACGAGCTCCTGGAGGATCTTGATGAGATTCCTACAGTCCAGTCCCTGGTTGGTAGGTCAAACTCTGGGACACACTACCCACACTGTCAGGAGGAGGGTGGACATGGGGACAATTTGACTTGCATGAAGCTTGATCTGGATTCCTTCTGTGTGGGAAACTGGCCCTTTGGAGCCCAACACAGCTAACAGGGCTCTCTCTGCCCTTGTAGGGGAAAGTGTTGCCAGCCTGGCAGACAGTGGTGCTGAGCAGGTGCTCTCTCAGCTCAGCAGAACAGAGATCTCCCTTACCCTCACTGGCAAACTGCTGCCAGCGGCCAGCAGTGAGGAGAGTGACACGAGGAGCTTGCTGCTGAGGTGAGGATGGGCCCCACGGGCATTGGGATTGTGCTGGGGGCTGGGATACTCTAGAGGGGCAAGAAACCCTTGTGTGGAAAGTAAATATTGTGAGCAGGGTGGTGGTCTGGAGTGGATGCCTGACGTCCCACTCTGGTCTCTAGCACCAAGCAGATGCTGGTGGATGTGATCCAGTCCCAGTCAGGAGATTCCCTCCCAGAAATCCTGTGGACACAAGCCTTGGAGCACGAGGTGGGTTGAGTGAGGCTACTGCTGCGCATGAGCTAAAAATGTTTGCAGCGAAATGGCAAAAAAACCCTCAGCAAAAAGCTGCCCTGCTCCTCTTGGAGCCTTGGCCACCGCTCTTGTGCTCCAGCAAGAGCTCCAGAAACGTGTTCTGGACCAGGAGAGATCCACATCAAACTGTGCGAGAGGGGGTTTGGTTGCTCCATCTCCTCATGCCCCATTTCAGCTGCGTTCCAGGCTCAGTGCCTTCTCATCCCTAGGAAGCTGCCCACGACCGCCTCGTGCACAGGCGAGCGCTGCAGGATGCCCAGACCCCCACCCAGCTGAAGTGGCACCGCTCCCTGGCGGAGAAGAAGCGCAAGATCATCCGTAACCTGCGGCACTTGGAGAGCCTGGGGCTGGTGGACTCTGCCCACCAGTACCAGGAGCTCATTGATGAGCNAGCCCAACACAGCTAACAGGGCTCTCTCTGCCCTTGTAGGGGAAAGTGTTGCCAGCCTGGCAGACAGTGGTGCTGAGCAGGTGCTCTCTCAGCTCAGCAGAACAGAGATCTCCCTTACCCTCACTGGCAAACTGCTGCCAGCAGCCAGCAGTGAGGAGAGTGACACGAGGAGCTTGCTGCTGAGGTGAGGATGGGCCCCACGGGCATTGGGATTGTGCTGGGGGCTGGGATACTCTAGAGGGGCAAGAAACCCTTGTGTGGAAAGTAAATATTGTGAGCAGGGTGGTGGTCTGGAGTGGATGCCTGACGTCTCACTCTGGTCTCTAGCACCAAGCAGATGCTGGTGGATGTGATCCAGTCCCAGTCAGGAGATTCCCTCCCAGAAATCCTGTGGACACAAGCCTTGGAGCACGAGGTGGGTTGAGTGAGGCTACTGCTGCGCATGAGCTAAAAATGTTTGCAGCGAAATGGCAAAAAAACCCTCAGCAAAAAGCTGCCCTGCTCCTCTTGGAGCCTTGGCCACCGCTCTTGTGCTCCAGCAAGAGCTCCAGAAACGTGTTCTGGACCAGGAGAGATCCACATCAAACTGTGCGAGAGGGGGTTTGGTTGCTCCATCTCCTCATGCCCCATTTCAGCTGCGTTCCAGGCTCAGTGCCTTCTCATCCCTAGGAAGCTGCCCACGACCGCCTCGTGCACAGGCGAGCGCTGCAGGATGCCCAGACCCCCACCCAGCTGAAGTGGCACCGCTCCCTGGCTGCCAACAGTCAACTCTCCATGGAGGAGAAGAAGCGCAAGATCATCCGTAACCTGCGGCACTTGGAGAGCCTGGGGCTGGTGGACTCTGCCCACCAGTACCAGGAGCTCATTGATGAGCTGGCCAAGGTGTGCTGAGTCAGCCCCCCTGAGATCCTGCTCTGGTGCTCTGAGAAAGCTCAGAATGAGGTATATTGGCTTTCTTGCCTGGCTTTGTTCCCTCCAGGACATCCGGAACCAGCGGCGCCACCGGCAGCACCGCCGCGCGGAGCTCCTGAAGCTGAGGCAGACCCTGCACAGCCTCGATGCCAAGACCTTATTTTATGAGGAGCAAATTGATTATTACAACCAGTACATCAAGACCTGCCTCGACAACCTGGCAACCAGCAACAAGTATGGTTTCTTACCAAAAATCAGTACTTTTTTTTAAAAAAACATTATTTGTTTTCATTGCTCTCTGGTTGTTGTGACTCCTGGAGATGTTGGGGGTCCAAGGGGACACAGGTGGCTGGAGATGAGCTTTCAGCATGTGGTTCCTCCTCTTCCAGGGTCAGCAGGAAGAGTAAGAAGCTGCCGTCGCTGCACTACACGGCGGCCCGGCTGTTGGAGAAGGGAGTGCTGCTGGAGATCCAGGACCTGCCACCCAGCCAGTATGTAGCCCTGGCTCCAGGGGAGGAGCTGTTACTTGGGGTTGTCCTGTGCCAGGGCCAGGAGTTGGACTCGATGATCCTTGTGGGTCCCTTCCGACTCACGATATTCCATGAAAGCTTGGGCAGGTAGAGGAAAATAACCCAGGAGGAGAATGCACATGAGCCACCATTGCTCTCCTGGGATGGGGCAAGTGGTTTCACATAGGAGAACATGGGACAGTTGGGATTTGGAGGGGGGATTTGGGCTGTGGGTCTGGCTGCTGTGCTGAGGGGTTGTGCTGGGTGGGTGACCAGCTCCTTGGTTGCCTTAAAGCCATGAAGCTCCTTCTGGCAGTGAGTGGCTCTGTCCCCTCAGGTTCAAGAACGTGATTTTTGACATCATCCCCTGTGAGGAATCGGGCAAGTTCCAGGTGAAAGCCAAATTCATGGGAATCGACATGGAGCACTTCCAGCTGCACTACCAGGTGGGGAGCTGTCCTGGGGCTGCCGGTGCCCAGCCAGGCCAGGGGGTGCAGGGGACAGGTGGTGTCCCCCCGCCTGCAGTTTTTGGGGGACTCAGAGCCCATGGGGAGCCCTGCCCTGAGCTGGGGACAGCCTTGTCATGCATCTCCCACTGCAAGCCCAGCTCTGAGCTGATCCTTCTTCCCGGGCATGGGGCTGGTGGCAGTGACGGTCACCTCTCCCACAGGACCTGCTGCAGCTGCAGTACGAGGGCGTAGCAGTCATGAAGATGTTTGATAAGGCCAAGGTCAACGTTAACCTGCTCATTTTCCTCCTCAACAAGAAGTTCTTCAAGAAGTAACAGGGGTGGGGGGGTTGAATGGGCTACAGGGACTGGGGGACCGATGAAAACCTGCCAAAGGCACCTTGGGGTTAGTGATCCTGGGGTAGGGAAGTTTCCGCTGGCCATGCATCTTTCCTGCCTGGACACAGAGTGCTTGAGCACCTGCAGCTGGCTCAGCCCCAGCCCTGGGCACCCCAGGCTCGGTACTGAGCTGGTGCCCGACCTCCTCGCAGAAGGATGTGGCTGCCAAAGCTTTTGCAGTGCGTGTTGCTTTTAAAATCTATTTTTTTTGTGGGTATTTTGGCTGTTTAGTTCCTGTGTTGCCTACAGCCAGCTGCTCAAGGACACTGGATTTCTGGACACTACACAGGGTTTTAGTGATGTAATAAAGGTATTTTAATATATATATATATATTTCTTCCTCACAGCAAGGCTGGAGAAATGTCAAAATCAGTCTTTATATTGGGGGGTAGGAGGAGGGCAGAACATAGAGGCAATAACTGCTAGTGAGGACATCCGTGGCTGTTCCCTACTAAACTGAGGTGCAATAGGAGAATGTTGGTTTCCAAAGATGAATTTCATTGCTCTCTAGCCAGGCTGAGAACAGATACAAAGCAGGGTGGGCTCAGAGCCACTGCTCTCCCACGGATGCCGCAGGGCACCAGAGCAGGGACCTCCCCTTTCTGGGTTTGCCTGGTATTGGATGTGGAGCAATCCCATGGCACTGTCTCAGCTGGGATGATGATGTCTCTCTCCCCTCTTTATTTGCTCTGGTGGGAGCAAAGTTTTCAAATGTGGATAATGATCGAGTTTGTCCATGGATGCATTTAAAGCACTTTCTCTTCATGTGAGCCCCTTCCCTGAGATGGGAAGGGAGCTGGTGGCAGTCCCAACCTCCTCCCAGCCCTGTCTCCATCAGGCATAGGAGCAGCAAGTCCCAAACCTGCTCCATAAAGGAACTTTTTGGGGGGATCGGATTTGGAATCTCCCTCGCTGCTCAAGTAACTGCCTTGGGTTAGGGTTAGCCTTGAAGCTGGCTCAATGGTACCTCATCTATTGCCATCTGGGGCTCTGTCTTGTCTTTGAAAAGTGATGTTTGTTTGTGAGGGTTTTATGTGTTTTTTCTTTCCCTTCTGTCATATAAAAGCTGCAAACGGTGCTTACCTTCATCCCTGCCCATGCTGGATTCCTGCTGTGCTGCCTCTGCTTGTTTACTTTAAATAAAGTTGTATTAGAAAATGCAGAATTGCTCTGGATCATTGTTTCCCCGTGGTCCTCACAAGCCTCTCCCCTGGCTTATCAGGGTCTTTCAGACTCATGACATTCTCTACAGTCTCCCATGTCCAAAGAAGGTGCTTGTGGCCGTGGGCACCAGCCATTAACCACCGTTAGATGGGGACCGGCTCCCTCGCGGTGGTGCCGCCGAGTCAGGCACTGACATGCTCTTGCATGGGGAATTTAGGCCACTTTCAGACACATTTAATTCTTAAATAAATACTATGATTACATCTCCTAAAGACTATGATTATATCTCTACAGGAGTGAAGCAGGATCAAGCTGCAGCACTCTTCCAGGTTTAAAACAGGATCTGTTGGCTGCTGTGGGTGCTGCTCTGTCTGCAGGGAGATGATCCGGAGGAGTTGCTGCTGCATGTTCCCATCACCACGCTGGTTTTTTTTTTATTTTTCTTACCTTCCTTGCCTTCAGAGGAGAATCCAGCGTGTCTGGCTGTGGCTCGGTGTGGTTTGTTGCCACCAGCCACCTCCCAGAGCAGCTGTTGGATTTGCAGCAGCAGCATTTGGCACACTAAAACCATTTATTTGGGATGTTTTGGGGATGGAGGAGAACCTGAGGTAAAGACTCCACGTAACGATAATAATCCCTAGCTCTTCATTAAGCACAGTCGCAGCACGACTGGAGGGGACTCAGTTTTGCTGTGGAAAAGGTGATTTTTTTGGCTCCCAGGAAGCTGTGCTGTGGCCAACCATGACTCAGAAATGGGGTGTTGGCTCTTGCCTCGTGCCCACACGTTTTGTAGAGAAGGTTGGAGGGGAGAATTCAGCCCTGGGAGCGCTGGGGGAGGCCTGGCGCTGGCACTGGCTCGCCGAGCTCCTCCCGAGGTGGCTCCACTAGATGTCATTGCAAGCTGGGGATAAGCTCGTGGCTGTGGCCACCTGGGCACCAGCCGCAGGTGCTTGGAGCACCCGACAGCACTGCGGGTACCAGCAGCCCCCCCACAGGGTCCTGAGGGACCGTGCTGCAAACACACATGGTGTGGCCCCGGTTGGAGGGGTGGATCCATCACAGTGATCCCAGGACATCCCAAATGGGACAAAGCGAGACTGAGGCTCACAAGTGACAGGGATTCATCCTCACAGCACAGCCCCTGGCCTCTCCTCTGCCCTGGCAGCTTTTCCCAGGGCACTGGGCTCACTAGGGGCTCTGTGGTGCCTGCCCAGGCTGGGACTGTGAAAGGGGCCTGGGAGGAAAGCCCATCCTGAGAGGTATTCTTTGGGAATGGGGAGAAAGGAAGAGATTTGGGCTCCCCCCGAAGCTCATATTTCATATCAGAAGATCCTACAATGGTTTGGATTGGAAGGCACCTTAGAGCTCATCAGGTTCCATGAGCTCATCAGGCTCTTGCGATGGAGCACGAACATCTTCCACTATCCCAGGTTGCTCCAAGCCCTGTCCAACCTGGCCTTGAACACTTCCAGGGATGGGGTAACCACAGCTTCTCTGGGCAACCTGTGACAGGGCCTTACCATGCTCACAGGGAAGAATTTCCTCCCAATATCCCATCTAACCATGCTCTCTGTTAGTGTGAAGCCATTCCCCCACATCCTGTCACTCTTTAGGTACAGAAAGGTACTGTTTCACCTTGTCCAGCTCCTGCAGGTCCTGTCCAATGCCTGACCCACGAGTATTCTCTGCATGGACAGGGAATCATTGTGCTTGCAGAGAGTCCCTTCACTGACCTCCCCACTCTGCACCTTATACTATAAGTATGTGTATAGATGTGTGTGGGAGAGAGAGAGAAAAATGGCACCCGGATACTGGATATGTGTTACGTATTTCACATCTCACCCAGCTGGACTGGGTATAAATCCTGCAGCCTGTGGCCCTGCATGTGTAGGAAATAGGGACACTGGAGGCAGCTGCCAAGTGTAATCCATGGGGAAACGTGCCACCAAACCCACACTGGGACTGCTGCCCTGGTCTGGGGTGGGAAAGAGGCTGCTGGGGTTTCCCAGGTTTTGGGAGGGAGAGGTGAGATAGGATGGAGGAGTTTTGGGAGGTTCAGGGCTGGGAGCTCACTGTTCTGGCAGCATTCTCTGTCCACTCCAGCCTGCTCATGGGAACCCACACCCAACAGGGATGAAAAGTTGTTAAACTGGGCTCAGAAAGCTGCTGCCACAAGTCCTGATCCTGCCAGCTTGGGACTGCGTGGCCTGGCGCAGCAGGTGCTGGGAGCTGGTGCTGGGAGTTGGTGCTGGGTGATGGATGCTGGTTCTCAGTGGTGGGTATTGGGTGCTGGTTCTGGGTGCTGAGTGTTGGGTGCTGGGAGGTGGTGCTGAGTGTTGGGTACTGGTGCTGGATGATTGTGCTGGGTGCTGGAGCTGGTGCTGGGCAGGCCGGCTCGCAGGCAGAGCTCCCCCAGAGCCGCTGTCCCCGCTGTCACGTGCCACAGCGATGCTAATCCCGTTTTGAAAGCCCGCGTCCCGCACTGCACCCGCTAATCCCCCTCAGTGCCACGGCTGCGGGGCTCGGCGCTGCCTCGGGGAGCCCCAGGGTGTCCCTGCCCCTGGGTCCCCTCTACAGGCACATCTGCCCGAGCCCACATCCTCTGCCTGCCTCTGCTCCAAGCCCCGAGGATGCTCAGGTGCTCCCTGCCCTGTGCAAACGGGTGCTGAGTCCTGGACACCCGCAAAACACACCTTGGACAGAGGCTGGGCCGTACCGGGTCAGGACATCTCAGCAGTCCCTGGAAGCGCCGCGCTGCCCAGGAGGAGGGAGGAATTCACTTACTTGGCCAACCTGGCTTCGGCACAGCCCCGGTCACTCAGCACGACGACCTTGGCGGCAGCACCGAGGAGGCAGGTGAGCGGCTCGAMCCCGCCTGTGTCGGAGCCGGGGCCCCCCCCCGGGAGCAGCCGCCTTGCCGGCAGCGCCGGGGGCTCCGCACCGCGGCTCCTGCTGGGGTGGCGCAGGCTTCGTGCGCTGAGGAGTAATATTGTTGTTCCCTTCCGATGGCAGCAGCTTCCTCGTGGGAGAGGGGGAAAAAGCACAAACCGAACTGGGGAGAAAATAAGAGGGGAATGTTTGCCGACTGTCTGCTGTGTGTTGTTGCTGTTTGTTGTGTTTCTGCGGTTGCTTTGGCAACCGCGGGAAGATGTGCCAGGCTGGAGCATGGCGGGTACCAGCGCGGCGTGCGAGAAGCCGGGGCTCCGCTCCCACAGGGCCAAGCTGCCGGCCCGGTGGCAGCCCCCGGTGGGGCTGGAGGCAGGGGATTGATGGGGTCACGTTTGTGCCCAGCTCAGCTGTTGCCCTCCTGAGCGAGCCTGTGGTGGGCACTTGCTTCGCACCGCATGGACCTTCCGAGAGGGACCTGGCTCAGAGACGAGCAAAGGAAGAGTGACTGGAGGGTCCGATGGGTTATCTCTGCCATGGGGACAGCAGCCAGCCCCACTGTTCCCCAGGAGCCTAGGAGTGTCTGGGCTCATCCCCTCCCTTCTTGTCCAGAGGAAAGGGAGTGAAACAGCCGTGTCGTGGAGGGGCAGCTGCTGCCATGCAGTGCTTGCCAGAGGGGCATCAGGAAATGCTGAGTGTGAGGGCACCTCTGTCTATCCAAGGAAGGAGCCATTCCCTGGTACTGGAGCACCAAACCGTGGCCTAACACGGGCAGGGGCATGCTGCTTTCTGTCTCCTGTAGCTCCGTCTCTTGCACTGTGGGGCAGAGAAGGCTGCTGCCTGTGTGGCAGTGGGGGATGGAGCCAGGATCCTGAGGGGCAGCGTGGGACTAGTGGGACCAGGGCAGAGGAGCCTGGCCGAGGAGGGGACGGGGCCAAGAGCAGCTCGGGGAGGATGGGGATGCTCCCAGAGCCACTCTCTCCCTCCTGCAGCCCCGGGAACTGTGCAAGCTGACATCCGTCAGAGCAGGAGTCGGTGTGCCCCGCGGCATCCCCAGGGCAGAGCAGTCAGGGGGTGGGTGAAGGCTTTGCCCCTGGGAGCCAGGAACATTCTGTGCAGCTCCAGAGATGCGTGTTAACTCTTTGGGGGCTGCAGCAGGAGAACTGAGCTCCTCGGGGCTGTGGGCACCATCCACCCAGAGCCTGCAGATACCAGGGCTTGGATATTTAGATATTTCCGCAAACCAGTGGTTTGGGGGCTCTGCTGCTTCCTGTCCCACTTTGCACGAGAAGTGCTAGCGAGGAAAGGTTTCAGCCTGCTGCTGGTCAGAAGTGCCAATTTAATGAAATTATTTAATCACCGCATCTCCAAATGGTGCTTTTTTAACTGAAAGGAGAGGCCTGATGAGGAATCCTGCCCTGAGCTGGAAGCTGACTCATTCTCCTCCCAGTCCTGGGGTCAGCGCTGGATTGCAAATAAACACACCAAATTCCCACTGCTGGGTTCTGGGAACGTGCTCCCGGCTCTTCGCGGAGGGCAGGGACCCAGGAAGAGGCTGAGTGTCCGCCTGCCTCCCACTGCATCCTCCCACCCTTGGAGCAAGGGGGGCTTTGGTGACACCTGGAGCTGTCTGGGGTGGGGGGAAACACCACTTTGCTCTGATAAGGGTCTGAAAAATCCCAAAGGGCAGAGATTTGCTGCCCTGTTCCCTCTTCCAAAAGGAGGCCCCAGCTCTGTGACATCCTTGCTGTGCCCACCAGGCGAGACCCAATTCCCATTTCTTTGCTTACAGCTCTGGTATCTCCATCCCCTCCTTGGCACATGGTTTCCATCACAGGATCTCTGGGTGCAGCTTCAGCCCAAGCCCAGGTCTTGGGAGGAAAGGAAAACGGAAGCAATAAGAGTTTGGAGCTGGACTTGAATCCACATCCCAGGATGAAAGGGCAGCACGTTCCACCCCAAAAACTTCCCCACGCAGGGCTAAGCAGAAGCTGGAGCCAGCCTGAGTCACCCTGTGTGGCTGCTGCCGAGGCAGGAGTGACCTTGTGCTGCTGAGCCAGCGTGGGCTGG